GAATCCTTAACCCATGGGGCCTCTACACCTCACACTATATACAAAAATTGGATCAAAAGTGTATCTATAACAGGGACCAGCAGTTAGCATAATGGCTATGTTGCTGGACTCCCATGTAGCCGACCGTGGTTCAAGTCCCGGGCCCAGTGCCTTAAACTACACATGCGTGCCCAAGATCCAGAGAGGAGAATGGAGAAGGGATTGCGGTGTGGCCATCCTCCCTGGGGGGTGATTTCTTGCTTTCTGTCTCTGTCTTTCTGGTGAGTGCACACGCCCTATAGCAAAAAGTTCTCCAAAAAAAACAAATCAATAATCAAAATCAACCCAATTAAAAAAGAACGTCAAGGAAAAAAATGTCAAGAACTTGAATAGGTATTTCTCCAGAGAAGACATACAAACTGTCAGGAAACACATAAGATTAGTTATCAGGGAAACCAAACTATGGTGTGATATCACTTCACATACATGGTTTGCTGGAGCACTATTCACCACAGTAAAAAATTGCTGGGCAAGCAGGTGGTGCAGTGGTAAAGGTACATGGCTAACTGTGGTTTGAGTCCCAGAACCAGCAGCTTGAAAAAAAAATCACAAGTGTATGTCCCCTAAATCCCAGGAGGAGAATGGAGGAGAAGGAACTGCAGCATGGCCATCCCTCCTGGGGAGTGTTTTCTCACTTTCCCTCTCATTGTCTATCTCTGTATTTCTCCACACAACCTATGGCTTTATGTTGTTGTTGTTTTTCAAGATAACCTATCCATCTTATCTTAAATCAAAAACCATACCACACAAAATTCCTTCTATAAAAAAAAAACTTTAACAGCCCAAATGTCCATAAAATGATAAACTGAATAAACAAAATGTTTACACACATTACACATATGCATATGTGATACTTTATTCCATAAAAGTGAATGAAGTACTGTACATGCTACAATGTGGATTAACCTCTAGATTATTATGCTAAGAAACAAATGGTCACACATTGTACCATATCATCTCTTTAAAATATCCAGAATAGTGAATCCATAGAGACATAGTGTTTCCAAGGGCTGAGGAAATAAGGGATTAGGGAATGAGTGTTTAATAGGTATGGTGGCTTCCTTTGGGGTGATGAAAATGTTTAGGAACTAGATAGTTGATGGTTGACATCTTTTTTATTTGTTTTTAGAGGTTTTCACCATGAGAGAGGGGGATAAAAATAGAGAAAATGAGAAATCATCATATCCCAGGGGGGATAGTCATACCTCAATCTTTTCTCCTCCATCTTCTCTCAGGAACTTGGGCATGCACACACATGTGCCCAGACTGATTTTCAAGTCACCAAGTCTAAGTCTCAAACCACCATTGGCCAATAACATTTTGATTGTACTAGATGTCACTGAATTATACACTTAAATTTTTAATTTTAGTTATATGAATTTCAACTCTATTAAAAAACAAAAAACTTGAGGGGATAAAGTTGGCCCACTTTTTTAATGCATTTTTTAATTTCAAAAGAAAAAGTTTAGTTTTGACATGGATCCTGAACTTCAGCTGTGAAATATTGCTTTCAGAGACTTAATATGAAGATTTTCTACTGAGACTTCTTCCTCACTTATTTCTAGAAAGGCACAAACCCAGGCCCATCTCCACGTGGATCCTGAACTTCAATTGTGAATGCGCCACATGGTTTCAATTTTTGCCTTTTAATACTAAAATCTATAGTTTTTTATTATCCTTTTTTCTTATTACTTTATATTTTCTTCTTTCCTTTTCTCTAGTTCTTTTTTTTTTTTCTTTGTCTTTACTCATTGGCTTCTCAGCCTCTACTCACTAAGTGTCTAGGCAGGTCCAAGTGAACAGGATCTAAACATCTGAATACAACTAGGGCCAGAATATTCCTCTATTCCCAGTTTCTGATGCACAAAGAGTGAGAACAGAACAGAAGAGAAATTGCAGATCACCTCTTCCTGCATGTCTCTGAACACTCAGATTGAATTTCAAGAATTAGAAGAAATGCACCATCCATAAGATGACTAGAAATCACCACAGCGTGACAAGAAATATGGAAACACAAGAAAATATCTCCCCTCCCAAGAAAAATAATAACTCCTCTTCATCCTCAGACAGTATGATGAAATTCATAGAAATGTCAGATAAAGAATTTAGAATTTTCATGGTGTCAAAGCTCACAGAGATCAAAAAGAAGACAGACAATAAACTGCCGAAGAGACAAGGGAAAGGAGCTGATGAGCTTCAGGAGGTGAGGAAATTCTTGCAAGATCTAAAAGAGGAATTACACACTATAAAAAAGAGTCAAATGGACCTGTTAGAGATGAAAACTATAATACAACAAGTCAAAACCTCCCTTGAAAGTATTAAAAACAGACTAGATCACATTGAAAATTGAATCTCAGTTGTAGAAGATAGAATGCTGGCCTAGAAAGATTCACCATGAAGAGTGAGAAAATTGCCCATAAAAATGAGAATAATATACGAGAAATACTAGATAACATCAAATGTCCAAACATCCAGATAATTGATATCCCAGAAGTTGAAGAGACTCTAAGGACATTGATAATCTGTTCCATGAAATCCTGCAAGAAAATTTTCCAAGCCTAGAGAGTCATTCTATGATCCAGTCCCAAGAAATACATAGGGCCTCCAATAAAATCAACCCAATAAGATCTTCTCCAAGACACATTATAGCCAGACTGACCAAAACCACAGACAAAGACAAGATACTAAGACTGGCAAGAGAGAATATAGCAAGTTACCTACAAAGGGTATCCCATCAGGTTGACAGCAGATCTCTCATCAGCAACAATACGAGTGAGGAAAGAATGGGAAAATATATTCAAAGTGTTAAGGGAAAAGCAATTGCAACCACAGATACTATACCCGGCAAGATTATCCTTCATATGGGAAGAAAAGACAAGAACATTCTCAGATAAACAAAACCTGAAAGAATTTACCAACGCCAGACCAAATCTCCAAGAAGTTCTGCAAGAAGCGTTATACCAGGAAAATTAAATACAGTCACATAGAAATAAAACTTCAAAAACTAAGAAAATGGCCAACTTAATTGTGGGGACAAGTCTGGAGTTGAATATTATATCCTAGAATTTAATTGGGAAATTTGAATCACAACAAAAGATAAAGTACATGAGACTAAACAGGTAAAACAGAATTTTATGACTTTTGACTAAAACATTGTTGATTTTCTTCTAGGCTTTGTTTTCCAGTTTTAAGGATTTTTGTCTTCTCTTGAGCTGCTGATACGTTCATGTACCTACTATTTGAACTGAATCCTAACCTGTTTCCTGGTTTTAAGTTTTAAGCATATTTCCTTAGCATTTCTTTGACTTATTAAAGTTAAATCTGCTTTTCTTGAAATTAAAAATATAGTAAAAAAATACATAATTAATGACTGTAGTAAACTATATAGCATCAGCTAGCTGCTACCTTCTAGTGCATTCATTCTACTCAGTTTCATGCCTAAAGTCGGACATGTATTCATAGATATGTATATATCAGCAGAGCTTGCTATTGAAAGTAGTTAGATTATTTAAGAAATGTGAATCAATAAAATGTGGGGGGGGGGGGAAAGGAATGGAAAACAACTCTGAACACCTGAAGTAGTGTTGGAGGAGGGTGGAAAATGGCAGGGGGAAATGGCAGTGAAAAATAGCGGGGAAAATACACATATATATATATATATATATATATACACACACACATACACACACACACACACACACACACACATATATATATATATGAAACTAGAAATGGAAAATTATTGATGATAACATGTATGATTAAGCTACTATGCAGCATATTCTGGATGGGAAATCACATTTTGTATGCTGTGACAATGCTCAGTGGATGAATGTAAATTAGTTTTTACAAAAAGAAAGAAAAAATTTAGTTTTAATAGAAAATTTAAAAATGTTGAGAGAAATTTGCTTAAAACTTAAAGCCAGGAGAGAGGTTAGGATTCAGTTCCAATAATAGGTAGATAAACTTATCAACTGTTCAAGAGAAGACAAACATCCTTAAACATGTAAATCAAAGCATCAAACCTCATAGGTCTTCCAAGGTATAGAAGCTTTACAACTAAGAAAAAGGACTTCCTAACAACAGACATTTGAGTATATGTAAATGAACGAATCACATCTATAGACTTTAGTTTTCTTGTCTGCGGAATGAGACCAATAAGGTTATCACGGGATTATGTTACTTATGCAAAACATTTACACCACCAGACACATCACGAGCTCTCAGCAGAAGTTGGGTAATTTTGGAGGCAGGGCTGTGGCATGATGTTTAAGGCAGCTGGATCTCACATGGCCAACTGCACAGTTCCAGTCCTGAATCCAGTGGCTTGAAAAATGTTCCAGGCATGTGTGTGTGCATGCCGAAAATTCCAAAAGGAGAATGGAGAAGAAAGGACTGTAGTGTGGCCATTCCCCCAGGGAGGTGCTTTCTCAGTTTCTCTCTCTCTCTCTCTCTCTCTCTCTCTCTCTCTCTCTCTCTCTCTCTCTCCCCCCCTATCTCTGGTGAGCACATGTGCTCTGGAACAATTTTTTCAAAAATAGTTGGCTAATCTTATAACATTCTTAAAATTGTATTATGGATAACTGTTACTTACTTTTTAATAAATACTAACAGGTGGAATTAGGCCTGCTCTATTGCTTGGCTTGCTATAACTATAAGTCAAAGCTGACAAAAATAAGACTTTGTATAAGGCTTTGAACCAAACTTGTTGAAAAAGTGATTCTTCTTGCCCTATGAAATGTGCCCTATATGTGGCAATATTTAAATGATAATAGCAACTATGAGTAAAAATATGTCCTTTTCTTGTGTTGTTTCCAGCTAGAAAAGTAAATAAAATAATTTAGGAGAATATACTTTATTTGTTGCTCATTTGTTGCACAAACCAAGATAAGGTATAGCACTTTACAAGACTGTGAGAGAAGAAATTTATTTTGTTTAGTGACAGAAAAAACAAATTCAATTATCACCAAAAGGTAAATATCATTTCCATAATTTAGAGTATGACCAAAGCACACAGACTGTAAGAAATGATATTCAAATTCCTGATGATAGCAGCTTCCAACGAAATGTTTAATAAATACTTTCAGTTGTAATGATCAGTAAAACGAAAAGATTTGGCTTCTGACAGATACAGGTGGTTCTGCAACTGCTTCGAACGCTTTGCTTCTAGTCGGAGCTGTCTGGTTCTCTCTCTGATAGCTTGCTGCTCTGCTATTTTCTCAATCCGTTTCCTTCTTAGCCATCTATAGAGACAGACAGATCAGATTTGATGAGTATCAACCTGAGTACACTCCTATACTATAACTCCTACAGATGATAAAGGAAACTGACATTTCTTTACAAATTATTAAAGTATTAACTGAACATGTTCAGGCTTAAAATAATACTGATTAAGCTAATATAAGAAAGCATTCTTACATTCAGAATCAAATATTTAAAACTGAGTTTGTTTTATAATGAAACTACCACATTAACTGGCTTTTTAGTAATAATAATAAACCCATCACTTTACATGTTTTGGGTACTAACCTTTTTATTTAAAAAAATGTTTTTGCCATAGGGCACATGTGCTCACTGGAGAGAGATGGAGAAAGACGGAGAGAGGGAAAGTAAGAAATCAACCCCTGGGGGAATGGTCATGGCACAATCCCTTCTCTTCCATTCTCCTCCTGGGATTTTGGGCACACACATATGCGTATCCAGAGTGATTTTCAAGCCACTACATCTGGGACTGAAACTGTAGTTGGCCATCTGGGAGTCCAGGGCCTTAACCACTACGCCACCTTCTGGCCCTGGTCCTTTTTTAGACATCTGGTTTTCTAAGCAAATAACTGTTAGATAGATTCCAACTAACTTGTTCTTGATAACTAGCTGTATCAACAACAGTATTTAGCAAGGTTAAGAATGCCGGCATGAGACATGCTGCCTTACTTTTCTTGGGGGAAGATTAGGGAGCCTGTGCTTTTCAGGGCACAAAATAGTTCTTCCTAAAAATGGAAAAATAAGCCTAAACATGGAAGCACCAAATGAGGTAAAACAGGAGTCCACATTCTAATAAATTCAAGTCTATAATGCTTGCCTAGTTAAAATAACATAAAAAAATAATTGCAGACATTAGTATGCGTGTGTATGTTGATATGTGTGTGAAGTACTTTTTTTCAGAAATAAAACAATTGTATTAGAATAAAACAAACATAAGAAAGATCATAACCTGCTTTAACATGCTGAGTTCAATACTAATTTAAACAAATTAACTGTAAGTCATTGGTTGGGGGAAAAATGGAGGTGGACTGGATATTAGATGAGTTCATTAATGCAAATAAGCAGGCTTTAAAATTGTGGGGCCAGTGGTAGTGTGCTGGTAGAGACAGCGGGACCCCACATGGCTGACTGTGCAACTGGAATTCCAGGACTCCAGGGTTTTGTTTTTGTTAAAAAACAAAATGCAGGGCATATGTGCATGCATGCCCAAAATCCAAAAGGAGAGACATAGGAAAAGGGACTGAGGTAGGACCCTCCCCATGGGAGGTGCTTTGTCAACTCCCTCCACCCCATCTCTCTCTGGGAAGCACGTACATCCTCTAGCAAATTAAAATAATAATAAAATTACAAATATGTGTACTGAGGTCAATAGTTCTAATTTTGAAGTGGTGAAAATGGGACTTAAGACCCCTCCATTTTTGCAATGCACATTTATTGTTTCTGTTATATTAAATAATTATGTTAAAAAATAAAGAAAAAGAAAGGGAAAGAATGAGACGAAAAAAGAAAAGACAGTTAGCAAAAAAGATGAAAGTGAAAGAGAGAAATGAATTCAGACAACTGGATGCAAGAGTCATGCAGCCCTACTTCTCCCCAGGCTTGCTAGTAAGTTGAAGAAGCAGGATTATAGTCTCAGAATTAGCAAGCTAATGCAGAGTCCTACTCAGAAGACTGAAAGGAAAGTCAGGTTAGCCTTAAATTAGCAAAACATGAGCCCAAATATCTTTTTCATTTGCTCCATATAGATTTTCCTCCTTAGCCTACCTGCCTTTACAGAAAAGCATTCATTGGTAAATGTGACTATCAGTTTTTCTAAGGACAATGTAGGAAAAGTTGTAACCAATCTTTGGTTCATTTCTCTAAGAAACAAATAATAAATGCATAGTGAGGTACAGAAGGCTACCACACACTGATGCCAGAAAAAATTATTTTAGCATTAAAAGTATCTTGAAGAAAGAACGTAGAATTAACAAATTACACATTTTTAAAAGCATGGATTCAAAATTGAAAGGTTATGTACTGTAAGAGAGAAAAAGCATTTTTTTCTTCAAGTTTTATTGAGCATATCACTTTATTATATCTTTTTTTCTATTTGCCAGAGGGTGCATGTGCTTGTACTAGAGAGAGAGATAAAGCATCCTCTAGCCCCCACCATGGGCGTACTTCCTTTATCCCCCATCTTCTTCTCCATCTTCTTCTCCTTTTGGGATTTTGGGTGACACATATGTGCCTAGAGTTTCCTTCAAGTCACCAGGTCCAAGACCCTACTGTACAGTTAGTCATGTGGCTCCGCTTACTTAACTGCTAGGCCACAGGCTGCTCTGAGCATGTACCTTTATTTATTTATTTTTTTAGAGAAAGTAAGAAATCACGCCCCCTGAGGGGATGGCCACTCTCAATCCCTTCTACTCCATTCTCCTCTCAGGCGTGAGTTTCAAGGCTCTGGGTCTGGGACTAGAACTGTGGTCAGCCATGTGGGAGTCCAGCGAAATAACTATTACATCATCTGCTGGTCCCCTGAGCATGCAGCTCTCTAAAATGATGGTGAGGAAGGGGGAAATTGCCCTGCCTTCTACTTACTGTTTGAAGGCCCTTTCCCGGCCTTCTGTTCCTTTAAGGAAGAATAAGCATTCCTCTTGCTTTCGTAGCTCTTCTGTTTTCCTTTCTTTAATCTTCTCTTCATTCTTTTTTTTAAGCCATAATTGAAAAGCTTGTTGTGTTTTTCCTGCTGATTAGAAAAACAAGCTTTGCCTTATTTAGATAAGCCAAAACTACTTTCTGAGGCCTGGGTTATGAGATTCTTCAGAAACACATGCTCCACTCATAAACTTTTCATAATAACGTTAGCCTCATTACATGCATTCCTCATGTCCAAACTAAATATATCACCTGGAATAAGAAAGTCAATAGTGAACTTACTACCATATGGTTTCTTTCAAAAGTCTTACGGAGGCAATTAAGCAATCAAGAAAGTCTAAATGCACTGTTTCAAAGTTTTCAAAGTTGAACCCTCAGTCAAAATATTTTTTCACAATAGTATAAACATTTGGAGATAGATGACAACAATAAAGTTGAGGTCTCTGTAGCAGTTCCTAAAAGATCCCTAAGAAATGCAGTCTTAAAATATTAATAAATGATCTAATACTTGTATTATTCATCTTTTCTTTTAAATTCTGTGTGTGTGGGGCCGAGTGGTGGCACAGTAGTAATGTAACTAGACTCACATGAGAAAGTTCTTCAGTTCGCATCCCAGGACCTCTCTGAGAACGCGGGGTACACTCAAGTACCTGTGATCCGGGCTGGTTGGGATTGAAGTAGATTACAGCATGAGGACACTGGTTGGGATGCCTGTCTCTCTGTCCATGTGTATGTGTGTGTGTCTCATGGGAGAAATAAATAGATAAGCTTAAAAAAAAAGAATGAAAAATTTAAAAATAATTATTTGTATTTAAGTTTAAAAGAAGCTACTTAACTACTAAGCCCATCTTCAAAACTGTAATTACTATTATGGAAGCCATAAGGATTTTAAATCATAAGAATTTTCTTATAAGAGTAACAGCTGTGAGGATTTTGACATGACAGAAAGCTAGCAGGAATAGTTTATTTCATGGTCCCTCAAACTTCATGATGGATATTCTCTTCAAGGAATTTTCAAAAATTGAAAAGAGCTCCTATTTGTGGGGGATAAAGAAAAGGAAAGGGATAGATTTGGGGCTCCTTAGCCTTAAGACGAGCATGGTATTATAGGGCTAAGGGCCTAGAACACAGAAGGAAGGGATACGCGCATTTAATACTTTCCCCAAATATGAGCTCTGGGATGTAGAAGACCTTTCCTACATACTGCATTTCTTCTGTCTGTATCCCATACTGTCAGATGTGCCCAGTATAACCGGTATGGTAGATTTACTCCAGGATCTCTGATGGACAACTAAACTTTGTGGAGAGGACCCTTGGAACTAAAGGATCATTACTGACCACCTGGAAGTCAAGGGATGGTGGCAGATGACTGAAAACCATTCAGTCTGGAATTACAGATCAAAAGAGTCAAGGGTTCAGGGATGGACAAGACTGATGGGATCTCTGTCTCGCCCTTTATTCAGCAGATGAGAGTATTTACTGTATAAAGGCACACAAGTCCTGGGTTGTATCAATGAACAAAAACAAAGTCCCTTCTCTCATACATTCTATGCTCACACTGTACAACTAGAATAGCCACTGGTCACCTGTGGCTACTTGCATCGAATAAAATGTCAAATTCAGTACCTCAGTCACACTGGTTACATTTCCAGTGCCTAACTGCCACAGGTGGCTAGTGGCTGCTCCTGGACAGTACAGGTACAGAACATTTCCACCATCACCAGAAGTTCTACTGGACAGTATTGTTCTACACAGGGGAAAAAAACAGATGATGGGTATGTTGGATTCAAAAGAAAAGTAAGAAAGAAAGTAATAAAGGGGAAGGTAACAGGAAAAGATTGTATTTAACTAGAAAGTGAGCAATTTATGGAATATCTGGAGAAAAAAGTATTTCAAGCAATGGTAACAGTAAGAGCAAAGGAGCTGAAATGGGATTATGTCTGGCATATTCGATAATAGCAAAAAAGTCAAAGTGAAGCTAAAGTCATGGAATGAAGTCAGCGAAGTAATAAGAGGTCAGGAAATGGGCAACCTTATAGGCCATGGTCAGAACTTATGATTTTATTTTGAGACGAAAAGTCACTGGAGGCTTATAAGCATAAATGACATAATTTATTCAACATTTTAGGAGGATTATTCTGGCTCCTTTGTGGAAAACAGACTCAGTGAGGGGGAAGTAAAGTAAAAAGAGGAGGACACGTTACTAGGTTTTTGCAAAGTCCAGGGGACAAAAAATAGTGGTTTAAACTAGGATAGTAGGATTGTGAATATACTTTGGAGGTAGAACCAACAGAATTTGCTCAGAGATTGGGTTTTATGTCATGCTTTCAATAATTGCTTTTCAATTATTCCAGGTTTGCTTTTCACCATTTTATAAATCCAGCCATATAGAATCAAACTTTTCTGCATCACAAAAAAATGGAATAAAAAAAAAAAACACGAAATAGTAATACAGTTGCTGTGGTTTGAATGTGTTCTCACCAAATTTATGTGTTGAAAAAAAAATTTTTTTTGGACAGGTTTTTGCTATAGGGTGCGTACACTCACCAGAAAGACAGAAACAGAAAGTGAGAAATCACCCCCCGGAGGGATGGCCGTGCCACAGTCCCTTCTCCTCCATTCTCTTCTCAGGATCTTGGGCACCCATGTACACGCACCTGGCATGAGTTTAAGCCACCGTGTCCAAGACTCAAACCACAGTCGACTACATAGGAGTCCAGCGACATACCTATCACGCCAGCTGCTGGTCCCTATGTGTTGAAATTTAATTGTATTTAAAGGTATTAAGAGGGCAGGAACTTAATCTGACTATGAAATTAAGAAGCGGGACCTTTGGGAGATGATTAGAATTAGATTAAGTCATCAGGATGGGGCCTCCCTAATTGAATCCTGGTAGGTTTATAAGCAGAGAGAATGAAACAGACATGAATACATACAAGTTTGTGTCAGATGATTCCTAGTCTTATCCCCAGACTCTGCAGAGTCCCTTCCAACAAGGACCCGCATTAGATATGGCCCCTTGACCTTGGACCTCCAAAACCAAGAGCTAAATAAATCTTATTTTTTAATAAATGATCTGGTATGGTATTCAGCTGTTAATGACAGAAAAGTAAACTAAAACAGCAACTCATCTGTGAAAGAGCTAGTTTACACAATGCATAGTCTGCATGCATCAAAAAGAATCAATATTAATCACAGAAAAGTTACAAAGAATTTTCCTATGAATTGAAAGTTCAAACAGTTCATGACAATTTCACAGTGATAATGTGTTTAGACAGCATTTTCTACCTACCAGATCAGTAATGATTTCACAAAAAAAAAAAACACTTTGAAAGTACACTTCTTAATGGAGAGTAGGGGCATGGGAACTGTTTTTTTGGGTTTTTTTAGTTTGTTATCGGCATGTGCACTCAGTAGAGAGAGAACAAGAGAGAGGGAAAGTGAGAAATTACTCCCTGAGGGGATGTCCACACTGCAATCCCTTCTCCTGCATTATTCCTCTAGGGATTTGGGGCACGAACACACACGCACCCCATGGGTTTTTCAAATGCTGGGCTTGGGACGCCAACCGTGCAGTCAGCCATGTTGTATCAATCCACCTTAACCTCCACGCCATCTGCTGGCCCTGTCATATACTTTTTTTAAGAGAGATTTTTGCTATAGGGCTCACGTACTCACCAGAGAGACAGAGAGAAAGTGAGAAATCATCCCCCCCACCCCCCAGAGAGGATGGGCATGCCACAATCCTCCTCCTCTTCTCTTGAGATCTTGGGCACACGTGCACATGCACATACACACACACCCAGTTGGAGGTTTTTTTTTTTTTTTGGAGAGGTTTTTGCTATAGGGCGCGTGTGCTCACCAGAAAGACAGAGAGAGACAGAGAGACAGAAAGTGAGAAATCACCCCCCAGGGGGGATGGCCACGCCGCAATCCCTTCTCCTCCATTCTCCTCTTGGGATCTTGGGCACGCACACACACACACCTGGCGTGAGTTTAAGCCGCCGGGTCCAGAACTCAAACCACAGTTGACTACGTAGGAGTCCAGCGACATAGCCATTACGCTAACTGCTGGTCCCCCTAGTTGGAGTTTTAAGCCACTGGGTCTGGGATTTGAACTGCAGTAGACGATGGGAGTCCAGCGACAACATAACCATTACACCACCTACTAGTCCCAGTATCTGTCAAGTTTATTTGTTTATTTTTTTAAAGAGATTTTTACTATGGAGTTTATGTACTCGCCAGAGAGACATAGAGAGAGAAGGAGACAGAAAGCAAGAAATCAACCCCTGGGGTGGGAGTGGGGGTTGGCCATGCCTCAATCCCTTCTCTTCTATTCTCCACTCGGGATTTTGGGCACACAAGAACAGGTGCCCAGTGTGAGTTTTAAGCCTCCGGTCTGCGACTCAAATCATGGTTGACTACGTGGGAGTCCAGTGACATAACCATTTCGCCATCTGCTGGTCCCCACCTGTCAAATCTTAAATACCCAATAATTCTACCTCCTCAAATGCATTCTTCATTTAAACTTTTATATTTCAAAGTTAAGATATATGCTGGGAAATGCTATATACAGTGGCATTTTCATAATACTAACAGACAATGAAAACTTCAATTTCAAGGAATAGGAAAACAATTAAATAAATCATGACCTATCCATACATTGGAAGACTATATTTATTAAAAAGCTCCATCAGGCCAGCTGGTGGTATGGCGGTTGGAGGAGCTGGAACCCACATAGCTGACTGGGAGGTTTAGTCACAAACCTGCAGCTTGAAAACCATGCCTATGCATGTGTTTGTGTGCCCCAAATCTGGAAAGGAGGATGGAGGAGAAGGGACTATGGCATAGTCATCCCCCTCGGGAAGTGCTGTCTCACTCCGTCCCCACTTTGTATCTCTCCAGCAAGCACTGGTTCCATAGCAAATTAAAGGGGTAAAAAAGGCCTCCATGCCTGTGTGGGCTCTCGTACTGGTTCCCCCTGGCTACTGAATAATATCTCATTTTCAGTGTACCCTAATTCCCTCCACCTCAGACCTTGGCTCACCCCCTGGCTGTATCTTGACCAAAGAGGCTGGGGT